GTATCCATTAAATCAAAAGTAACTATTAAAAAATCTGAGTCATAGCCCTTCAGTACTATATTCACTGTTAGGCCTTCATAAAATCCTAGAGTATATAGTCAGAGTCTGAGAGTTCTGAGGTGACTTCCAGATTTGTAGAAAAGGCTTCTTACTACAAATCCTACTTGTTACTCATTATTACTCTAATAACCTAATAGATATACTGTTACTTCTATAGACAGTTCTTAATCTAGTACTCTGACTTTCTGTAGGCAAAGTATACTCCTTACTTTCAGGCTTCTCTAATGTCTATCAGAACAGATTGATTGTAAATTACAGGCAGATTAATCTAAGGGCTTGAAACTGTCAGAGCTGAATGTATGTGTAAGTGTTCTACACAGACTTGACACATTCAAGCTGTAGCTTAGTTAAAGGAGATAGTGTGTGTCTTCTACTTAGTGTAGGTGACCAGTTCTAGCATTATTCTAAGGATCTTATTAACCAGTTCCAGGTGAAGAGCTTTTTCAAGTATTCTAATAAGGACATTATTAAACCTGAGTGTGAATCCTACCTTCTAGGCTAGGATATCAAACTCCTGAAAGAAGGCATTAGCAGAATGTTTGCCCTGTCATAGAGATGTAAGCTTGTTCTGTGTATTATACTTCTTATTCAGATTAATAAAGGAAGTACAGAGCTACCTTATGAATTCTGAATACAACTTATTGTTCTAAAGTCAGATCAGGCTTCCAATCTAATAGTCTTCAATCCAGTTCTAGGCCCAGGTGGCTGTGTTACCTTCCTTTATGAAGGAGAGGATGAATAGGATGTGATTAAGATCTGAGGATAGATTAGTCAAAGTAGTAACTATGTATAGTTTGACTTAGTACTGGAAGTTCTTAAAGTGCTACTTATTAAAGTCTGAAGGGTAGGCTACATACACTTTCTTTCTAGAACAGGTTGTGACTTCTGAAACAACTAGAATGGGTTCTGAAGGGGCTGAGAGTATGTGGTTAGCAAAAGCCTCTTAAATAGAGGTCTACACATATTAAGCTAGTTCTACTTGTAACTACTAATCTGGTAGAACAGTAGGGGTGACAGTTGGTGTAGTAGGGTCCATGTCTATACTATAAAGGGATCAGTACTAAACTAAAAGGGGTAATGAATAGAAGAAGGGTGGCAAAAGTTTAAAAGGGTTTAAAAAGTTTAAAATTTAAAAATCACTCTAGTAGATTAACATAATAAACTTTACAGAACTAGATATAAAAGATATGTCAAAATACAGTCTGAGTTTTGTACTTAGTACTCTATCAATTTTGAAAATGTTACAATTCTCCACTCTCTTACCTTTAGTTCTGAGGGTTCCACACCCTTCTATACTGGAACTCAGGACTTCTGTCTCTCAGAGGTGCTGTCTATAGACTATATGTATGCTGACTCTTACTACTACCCTTCCTTACTTCATCATTCTATTCCTTTGACCACTCCTTCATTCTCTGTTCATTCTATAGTCTCTTACCCTTTATCCATCCCTTCATTCTTTGTACCTTTATCTTTGACATTCCTTTCTTTCATTCTTTGTGGCTTATCATTCTTAGTAGCTCATACTCCCTGAGTACTCTTGTATAGTTTAGTATATATAGGTATACAAGATCAGACTAGTCCTGTAGTCTTAATCTTGTCTACTCTAGGTAGTCCTGTACTCTTAGGCTCACTCTATATACTCTACTCTTGTCTCACTCTCTCTCTCTGCCTGTTCTACAAGTTCCAACTATGTTCTAGTGCTTACATTCTGTATTTCTGTTGTGTAGAATAGTTGTAGCCTGGGTCCCCTTGCTGAGCCTTTAGGTCCCCTCTACACTGTTACTGACATCAGATCAAGACTACCTATTACTACCCTATGACTCTCCTACATTTTGAGTATCAGTACTTGCTGTTGTGTCAATCTCTTTTCTTTGTCCTAACCCTTTTACTTCTACAAAATATACTGTATTGTAAAAAATACAATATTAAAATAAATGTATCTGAATCATATTTTTTTAAAGTTTTGTAGAAAAGAAACTATACATGACAATTTTTATACAAAGCTATATAAAGTCTTTTTTACTTATAAGAAGTTTTACTGAGTCTTATAAGTTACATAATAGAAACTCTTTTAACATGTATCAAAAACTTTGAAAAAGTTACTAAAGTGTTATTAGTAATACAAATAACTGTAAGAGTAATACAAACAATATAAGAAGTAGGAATTATAAAGAATATGATGAATGTAAGAAGGAAAGAGGGAAAGAATAGATATACTCTGTTATTATAAAAGTTAGTCATACTAGCACTTGTAATATAAAAATATATGATTTAAGAACATTTGGATGAAGAATTGTTTAGTAAAAGTAGGTTTTATAGAAAAAGTAATAGGCAAATTTATAACAACAGGATCTAAGGAGTCAGGACAAAGTCATATTGTACTATGAGTTATAGTAGTAAAACTGTTAAGAGGGAGAGTTGAATTAGAAGATACTAATTACTATGTAGTTACACAAGACAACTTTCCTATAGCTCTGAAGAACTAAATGCTCTAAGACAACCTAATGTGAATATTTTACTTTGGTTTATTGTATGTAAGTTAGAACATATAAAATTACAATATTATTTACTTGCAGAAGGTTAAGTACATTACAAAAAATTTCAAGTATGAATAATGAGACAGGATAAGAGGGGAGAGGTGAGAAGGAGAGAGGGGGCAGTAAAAAGCTAAGTTGACAGTGTTTTGGGAAAGGGAAACCAGATAGTAACAGTAACAAGGCTAGTTGAATGGCTGCAGCTGGCACATCCTGCATAGGATCAAAGGCTGCATGTAAGAAGTGTCTGGCAGCCAGCAAATGACTGGTCTACAGACAAAGAGGAATGTGTCTAGGCAGTGAGGACTGGGTCAATGTTGAGATCCTGGAGTCCCTGTTCTGTCATACGCTTGAGGAGGAATGTGATTGGCGTAGCATACGAGATATCAAAGGAATCCAAGTCGGAACCCATGTCGCCAGTACCGCCGGTGAGAAGACCACCAATGCGTCCATGCCTGTCGACAACAACGGAACCTGAGTCGCCCTTTTCTGAGAAGGCACCAGACTCGGAGTTCCGTGGGAGGATGGCCCACTCTTTTGAGGTCTTGGGATTATCATCGTCGGAATAGTTACGGACGTATGAGAAGATGTTGTTTGCACGGCCGACCGTCAGGCCTGTGGAAATACCGCGCTTGATAGCCATAGGACACGGTAGGTCGTCGTGATCGAGTGCAGTCCGGTAACGCATCCCCTCGTCTGGGATAGTGCCATGCAACTTGAGAAGACTGTCGACTGGATAATCGAACGAACGGGTCCTCTGAAGGCCGAAGTCGGGAATTATCATACGAATAAACTTCTCAAAAGAACCGAGATAGATGGCATTCCCATTGAAGTTGCTTTTGTCGATCTTGGACGGGTCGATCTCGATGACAGCCCAGTCCTCAGTATAACACTCGCTGCTTACACCAACGTCGATGGGAGGAGAGAGGATGACATGGCCTAAAATGCGGCTTTCCGGAGTGTTCCACTGAGTTGACACGTCCTGGTAGAAAGCGTTGAGCGCTTCTTTCGCCTTCTTCATCTTGTCTATCTCGTCCTGGTATTTCGCGTGCTTCTCTTTCACTGCCGGGCTGTCCTCTCCCTCCTCTCCCTCATCCGAGTCCTCACTAATGCATCTCCCATAATACTCGACATAGAATTCCTTGCCTTCGATCTCAGCCTGGATGGATTTAAGGTACCTTTCGAACGCTGCATCTCCGAACAGAGTAACGTTGTGACGGGGTTGGCTATCGTCCTTGTGCTCGAAGAGCCTGTTCTTGCTCTTATCTGGTGGAAAGACGACGTGGCGGGCAGTAACAAGAAGGAGCCTCTTGTTATCACCCTCGGCAATGAAGAAGCCGCCGGTACCTTCAGCCCAAGGTGTAAATGGGACGAGATGGGGAGACCGAGAGTGGTGGTAAGTGGATCGCGGACATCTGCAGTGGGATCGAAATAGGGATGATCAGACGAGAGGAGGAGCTTGGGACCGAGCGAGCGAGTAACGACCGACTCGCGGATCTCGACCTCCACGTCAGTGATATTATATTCTTTCAGGAGGTTCCGACACTTCGAAGCCACATCAAGGCCGTCATAGCCAGAGAGAGTTGCTGGTTTTATCCCAATCCAGAGGACGACAGTGGAGGAAGATTCCTCGGCGTTCCCGATGCGGACGACGTCGGTACTAGTCCATTTCACCTTCATCGTGTCTAGAAGGTCGTGTATCTTGAGGGCCAAATTGTCTTCCCAAACGTCAAGGAGCGCATGGTTACCGACAGTGCGGAGTTCCCTGATTACTCGGTACGCCTCTGGGCCGGTGGGTGCCTTCCACTGAATGCCTGTGCGAGCGACCAATCTTGGGTTAGAGGGCAGACCAGCATAGTACCACCAAGTCTCCTTCTTGGATGGAGGGGACGTGAGCATGGCGATGAGGTAGATTATCAGGTGCGGAAGTGAGACAGTACTCGTAAGAGGGCAGTGCAGAGTGTTGTGTCTGTCCTTAAGCTTTTCTGATTGAGAACACTGGAGGGAGAAAGGACGGGACAAGAAATTGAGTATGGGAAGCAGTGAAAGAGAAACAGGACTCACTTTTGATACTCTTGAGAATATATATATAATGACAGCTCAAGAGCTGACCTGAAAAGAGGGAGGTTGAATATGTCTCATCTCCCATCTCATAATCATTTATATGTGCTCCTTAGAGTAGAAGATTCAGGACCTGTCACGTGCTCATACATCATGTACATATAACATTTAAGGATAACTATAGTGCAAGTCACTCATTAACAGTAATTCTAAACAGTGTTTGACTCAGAAACACTCAGTTTAGTGGTTTTTGGCCCTCAATAATTTTGAACTCTATTTTTATGTTATAAAAAGTATTAAATAGATAGGTCTGCATCTAATTAATATAATTAAATACTTTCTTTTACAGTTATATTTACTAAAAAAAATAAATTATGTTTACAATTGAGAAGGTTAAAAAGTGAGCATTTAATGTGTCTGATCAGGATACACTCACTCACAGGAAAGCAAAACCTCTCTCTTGTTTTACAATATATTAGTATTCTAAACTATACTTAAGTTTTTAAAAAATAGTATAAGCTTACTTTTGTATGTCTGTAAGGTTTTTTCATACATTTATTATGTATAACATAAAGAAATTTAGGTATTTTGATTGTGTTCTTGATAATATAAATAACACCTGTAGGAATTTACTCTGTTTACAAAATTTTAAGTTATACTTAAATTTTTATAATTGTAAGTATAATATCTTTAACAACAATATATTTTCTTGTTACAAACTTTCTGAGTGTATTATAAATAGTATTACTTATATGTGTGAATTTTTTCAAGAATGTTTAGTAAGAATTGAGTAAGTTATAGTATAAGTGAGTATATTTTAATTATTAAGTGTATTTAAGTTAAATACTGTAAAAAATTGAATTTTAATTATTTTACTTTTCTGTTTGAGATTGAGTAGGAAAGTGGCCAAAATATACTATTCTATACATTTTAAATAAAACAGAAAATTGATCTAAATTTTCTAGAAAAAAATTGAATAAATTGAATAAATATTTGTAAACTAAGTAAATATATAAGTTAACTATTGACAAGTTTCTTCCTTACTTTTTACATACTTATAAATTATAAAAAATAAATAAATTTACTTTTTAGAAGTTTTTCTGATTTTCTTATATTAGTAAGATGTAAGGATTTGCTTTACTAATTTGTATTTTATTATTACTACATTACTAATTATGTTAGATCATTACACAGTAGGACCTACAAGTATATATATATTCTTATTATAGTTAGTTACACTTTCTTCTTATGTATCTACATATGTATACTCTTATAAAAGACAGAATTAATTACTAGGTAAAGGGGATTCTTTTCCCCTAACTCTTTACTCAAGTACTAGGTTATTCTAGTTAGTAGTTGAGTAAACTAAGAGTAATTAGAATTCTCTTGTAAGGAACAGTAAGTTTCCTTACATATTTTTGACTGTACCTACCTAGTATTAAAACCTCTTACTAGATACTGAGGAACTAAAGAGTCTGATCAACTCTAGGTCTCTCTTATTGTCTAGTACTCCTCAGAAATTATTAGTGAGTAAAGTTATGAATTTTTGAGTAGAAACAGAGACTACTTACTAGATTAGCCTTTAGTAGGTTCACAATACTTTAGAACACTATAGAATGCTTCTAGAACATATTAGTACATATTAATATAGATTAGTACTAGATACACTAAAGGTTTACATTAATTGAATAAGTTAAGGACTAAGTATTTATAAAGGTGAAAAGGAATGAACAAATGTACACTAAGTTTACAGACAATAGATAATAAGATTATCTATTAGATATTGATTATAATATAGCTACTAAGCCTTAACAGACAATTCCTAGAGAGTACCTAAGTCTAAATATTAATACTAACATACTAGAATGTAAGTCCTTATCCCTTAAGGGCTAGAGGCATTTTGAAAAACTTATACTAGGTAATAAGTCCTTGTCTATACAAGGCTAGAGACACTCTAATAAACTACTATATACTAGTAATGTAGAACTAAGGTATGTAATTATACTAGTATATATAGTTAGTCAAATGTGTACTATAGAGTAGAAACTAGTAAGTACTCACACTACTAGACTTACAAGATGTAAGCCTGTCTGACAGCTTACAACAGTTTCTACACAATTCTATAGTACAGAACTGTAGATCCTGTACACAGATTCTTACAATAGCTTACTAAGCTACACACTTTTTTCACATACTTGTATTAAGTCCCTCTTTTGTTATAACCACCTTCCCTACATTCCTAGATACATACTATCCCCTTTTGTCTTCCCCTTTAAGTATACATTATGTTTCCCTCTTTTGTTCCCCTTTTATTTTCCCCTTTAAGTATGGACCATTTCCTTAGTATATATAGTTAGTATTCTTTACCTTTATTGTATCAGTTTGTATTTCTAACTATAATAAAGGTGAGGCCTTTGTTAGTACATGTATCAGTTTGTATTTCTGACTGTAACAAAGATACCTTTGTCCTGTTAGCCTTTGTGTGTTACTACAAACTTGGAACTTGTTTGTAACAGTGTTCAACACTTTCCTAGTACTGTTCTACTTTTTTTTAAACATTAACAAAGTAGTCTTTATTTTACTATATGTTAGTAAGGTTCTCTAGCCTTCCTAAATACTCCCTACTATTAGTAAGGCCTTCTAACCTTCTTAAACACACTATTACAGTCTTAAAGCAAGCTTAGCCCTCCTTCTAACTGTATATAACTAAGTCTTGTTTCCCCTAATACTAGGTATTCTTAGAAGCTACTACAGTTACTCCTTGTTGACTAGAGAATCTGTATTCACTTCCTTAACACTACTACTGTTTACAGCTACTCTAAGCTTAAACACAGAGAGTAGCTTAGAGTTATTAGAAGTAAATAGTAATATAAGCAAGCCTACTCTAAGACACTAGAAAGCTACTATGTTCTAAACTATGTCTACTAAAGCTTAGTTGATCTGAGAGAATACTATAAAGCCTCTAATATTGACTCTAAACAATCTAACACTGTATACTCTCTAGTTATAGATCTCTGTGTTCTACAAGTATGTGTCTATCAAATCTATTCTTACAACCTATATAGTTATAGTTGTAATAGAATACTTACAGAATAGTAAGCTATACTAGTAGTACAAGTATAACTAGTCTAAACTTGAGAGACTTACACTAAACACATTCTATTAGGAGCTTTAGTATAAGATACTCTCTACAGACTAGGTAGAGTAAACCTAGAACAAGCTACTTGTAATATAGTAAGACAGTTACAACTTCTAGGAATAATAGTTACAAATTACTAGAATAAACTTTAGTTTTCTAGAAGATTAGTACCTTAATTCTGACAGGCTTTACAAACTTCTCAAAGCAAATCTACACTCTGATCTTTAGTTTAAGCTCTACCTTACTCTTGTAAGACTGTTTCTAACTTATACTAAACAGATTATAATGTATACAGAAAGGGTACACATAGTAGTACTAGTAAATAGTCAAATTCCTAATCCTGTAGACCACCTCCTAACTCTGGAACTAATTCTAGGAAGGGAAGTAACAGACTGTATAAGACTCTATAAATAGTTAGAGTATGTATACAAGCTAGTAGAGTAGTTAGAAGTAGATTATATAAAGGTCTATAATAGTATAAAGACTATCTTAACTGTAGAACAGGTCTAAAAGAAGGACTAGGAGAAGCTACACACTAGAAAGTTTACTCTAACAATAGTTAACCTAAAGGTTACCTTAGGAAGTACTATAAGGTATACTACCTTGTTTTATACAGAGTACTAACTCTTAATAAAGAACCAGGAATGTTTCTAGTACTATAAACTGTTTATAAATTATAGAGGTAATAATTGTCTGACAGGTCTACTAAAACCTGAAGACACAGTTCTTATTACAAAAGTGTATATTGAGTCTCTTTGTCTAAAGTAAAAGTCTACTATACCTATATAAACTAAGTAATCTATAGTGTTAGAACCTGTAAGTAAAGACAAATCTGAGTATGTTCTGATTTCTAACTCTTTACTATTCCTTAACTACTACATTCTTATAGAAGACAGTTTTACTCTAATCTATATTTAACTTATGATTGACTCTGACTGTTCTACAGTTCTGATTGACAATAAACTAGTGTTCTAAATAGGCCTTAAGTGCTTCCTACTTAAAAGACACATTATTATAACACTAGCTATCAAATTAGTAAAAGAGTCAGGAAAATAGATTACAAAGTAGGTAAAACTGTAGGTACAGTTAGTAGATTAGAAATAGACATTAAAGGTTGTAAAAGCTTGTATAGTCAATAACTTGTATAATAAAATGATTCTTAGTACACTTTTCCTTTAGAGGAACTAAATTATTATTAATATAAAAGGTTAGACAGTTATTCTAAAGGATTCTAAATGTAATCTAATAAAGGTAGAAGGGATAGAATCAGTCTACATTCTACAACCTATGTGTGTTCCCTTAGAACTAGTACTATCCCTAGCTGTAACTATTTGAGAGTACATTAAGACACTAACTAAGTTAGAGTAACATAAGACCTTAGATAAAGAGCTAAAGTAATAATACTAAGATTGCTTCCTAGACTCTATACTAACTGTTACAGAACTTCCAGAAGGAATTACACACAAAATACAGTTTAAGGACCTGTCTAAAGTAGTAGCTGTAAGGTCTTACACATGTCTACAAAAATACTAGAAGGCCTAATACACACTCTTAAACTAGTACATTTAAGCTAGTTGTTTATAAAGGTCAGAAAGCCTGTATGTATTACTCACATTCCTAATCCTAAAGGAAGATCTGGAAGACCTTCTACACATAGTATGTAACTACTAGGCATTAAATAGTAACACAATCTGTGATCAGACCCTACTACTCTATATTAACAAAATTATAAATAATACTATTAGAGAATGTATATACACAAAGATTAACATAACTAACATGTTTTTCCAAACCTATATGAATCTGGAACATATCCTACTCACTATAATTAGTACTCTGTTCAGACTATATGAGTAGACAGTCATACTAATAGAATTATATAATACACTAGCTATATAATAATAGAGAGTTATAAGAGCCTTAGAACATCTTATTAGAAGGATCTGTTATGTCTACCTAGATAATATTATTATTTAGTCAGAGTTAGAGGTAGAACACATTAGAAATATTAGAAAGGTTATGTAAGCACTCTATAATAAGAGTCTCATCTGTTTATAAAAGAAAACTAAGTTATTCTGTACAGAGGTTAAGTTTCTCAAGCATCTAATTACAGAAAAGGGTACAGAAGTAGACTCAGACAAGGTCAAGTGTATTTTAGAATAGTTACAGCCCTAGAGAGCCTAGGATGTTTACAGGTTTCTCAGACTTTTGTAGTATATTATAGTATACCTTCTACACCTTACAGAACATACTATAGTTCTTTCTCTACTCACAAGTAAGGATTGTAATAAGGTATTTCTAGAGTAGAAACTAGAACACTAACATACTTTCAACACAATCAAGTCTATTGTTACTAGCTGTAAGTGCCTCACTTTTGTAGACTATAATTCAGGAGAGCAGATCTATATAATTATAAATGTAAGTAATTCTAAGACTAGAGTAGTCTTTAGTGTTGGATCCTTGTAGAAAACAGTAAAACCTGTAACATTTAAGTCTAAGTAATATAATAGTGTAGAATGTAATTACCTAGTACATGAGTACAAACTCCTTACAATTGTTTACACACTTAAGAAGTAGCACATTTACCTCCTAGGAGTACATTTCTATATTTACACAGATTACTACACTCTCAAATACTTAAATATATAATGTAATCTGTTCTAGAGACAAGCCTAGTAGATAGAGAACCTTTCCTAGTATAACTATAAACTATATTACATTAAAGGAGAAGAGAACACAGTTACTAATACACTCTCCTGTTACTCAGACTTTAATACTAGTCTAGAAAATGAGAACCTAGTATAGGAAACCTTAGAAAGTACATTTATACAAATCTCTACAGATCCTAACCTTCTTACAACAATTAGAAACAGTTACAACACAGATAAGTTCTGTTACAAGCTTTAATACAATCTTGAAAGTATTATAAGAGCTTGTAAGGATTAAGAACTACTATACTTAAACAACCAGTTAGTAATTCTAAGCTCTAGAAATGTGTACAAAACCTTGTACTACCTTGTGTATAATAAACTAGAACACTTTAGTACAGACAAGACTTATCTGTCTTTACACAACTCATTCTATTAGTCTAACATGTACTAGAATCTTGAACAGAACTATATTCTAAGTGTTAGTAACAGTATAGAGGGGACCTGAAGGCTCAGTAAGGGAACCTAGGCTACAACTATCCTACACAACAGAAATACAGAACACAAGTACTAGAACATAGTTGGAACTTGTAGAACAGAGAGAGAGAGAGAGAGAGAGTGAGACAAGAGTAGAGTATATAGAGTGAGCCTAAGAGTACAGAACTATCTAGAGTAGATGAGATTAAGACTACAGGACTAGTCTGATCTTGTACACCTATATATACTAAACTACACAAGAGTACTCAGGGAATATGAGTCACTAAGAATGATGAGCTATAAAGAATGAAAGAAAGGAAGGTCAAAGATAAAGGTACAAAGAATAAAGGGATAGACAAAGGGTAAGAGACTATAGAATGAACAAAGAATGAAAGGGTGATTAAAGGAACAGAATAATAAAGTAAGGAGGGGTAGTAGTAAGAGTCAGTATACATATAGTTTATAAATAGTGTCTCTAAGAGACAGAAGTCCTGAGTTTCAGTACAGAAGAGTGTAGAACCTTTAGAACTAAAGGTGTAAGAGTAGAGAACTGTAACATTACCCCTCCTCTAAAACCAATTATTCTGATTAGTAAACATTAGGTTTAGTTAGTGACTTAAGTATAAGTTAGAATAGTAGGGTTTGGAAATCTATAAGGTAGAGTTAATGTAGAGCACCTGGATGAAGTTAATAGAAGTCTCAGATTACCTTAGTAGTATGAGTAAAATTCTTAACAGGTTCTCAAGTGTGTTCTTCAACTAAGTATCCTTTCTAGTAAATAAGGAACTTGAGTTTTCTGTATACTAGCTTAGTATCTACTACATACTCTACTTTATATTCTAGTTTGGAACTAATGAGTTCTGATAGAGGTAGTAAGAGTCTTTATTATAAAGGAAAGCTTAGATTGTAGTACTAAGACAACAGAACCTTGTTAAACACTAAGTGTATACACTTCTATATTACTAGAAGCTAGAGTTTGTAGACAGAGGTACTAACCTTCTTTTTAATAATAAAGGGTCTGAAGTACTTGTTGTCTAATTTCTTTATTAGACAATCTGTGGTCAGATTAGTAGCTTCTAACTGTTAGTAATAGTATAGAGGGGACCTAAAGGCTTAGTAAGGGGACCCAGGCTATGACTATCTTACATAACAGAAATACAGAATGTAAGTACTAGAACATAGTTAGAACTTGTAGAATGGACAGAGAGAGAGAGAGAGTAAGACAAGAGTAGAGTATATAGAGTGAGTCTAAGAGTACAGGACTACCTAGAGTAGATAAGATTAAGACTACAGGACTAGTCTGATCTTGTATACTTATATATACTAAACTATACAAGAGTACTTAGAGAGTATAAGCTATTAAGAATAATAAGCTATAAAGAGTAAAAGAAAGGAAGGTCAAAAATAAAGGTACAAAGAATAAAGGGATAGATAAAGGGTAAGAGACTATAGAATAAACAAGGAATGAAAGGGTGGTTAAAGGAATAGAATGATAAAGTAAGGAGGGGTAGTAGTAAGAGTTAGTATGTATATAGTCTATAAACAGTACTCTTAAAAGACAGAAGTCCTGAGTTCTAGTACAGAAGAGTGTAGAACCCTTAAAACTGAAGGTATAAGAGTAGAGAACTGTAACATTACTCTCTCTCTAAAACCAATTATCCTAATTAGTAAACATTAGACTTAGTTAGTAACTTAGACATAAGTCAGAACAATAGGGTTTAGAAATCTGTGAGACAGAGTTGACACAGAGCACCTAGATAGAGTTGATAGAAGTCTTAGATTACTTTAATAGTATAAGTAAGATTCTTAGCAGGTTCTTAAGTACATTCTTCAACTAGGTATCCTTTCTAGTAAATAAGGAACTTGAGTTTTCTGTACACTAGCTTAGTATCTACTATATACTCTACTTTATATTCTGGTTCAGAACTAATAAGTTCTAGTAGAGGTGGTGAGAGTCTTTGTTGTAAAGGAAAACCTGGATCATAGTACTAAGACAATAGAACCTTGTTAAATACTAAGTGTATGTACTTTTATGTTGTTAGAAGTTAGAGTTTGTAAACAGAGGTACTAACCTTCTTTTCAATAATAAAGGGTCTGAAGTACTTGTCATCCAACTTCTTCATTAGACAATCTATAGTTAGATTAGTAGCTTCTAGTATAACTTTGTTACTAGACTAGTAATCCTTAGCTATAGACCTCTTCTAATTATAGTTCTACTTTATAACTTATACTATCTTCTCTAAAAGAGCTTGTACATCCTCTCTAGTTTTGTGTATCTGTTCTACAAAGTCTGTTACAGATTCAGAACTGTTGTTCTAGTTTAGAACTGTCCTCTAGTATGAATGTCTCTTATAGTTGAGAAAGAACAGAGACTGTCCTGTTACAGAGTGTTACTAGTTATTATATATGAATTCTGTCAGAGCTAACTATTCAGACTAGTCTAACTACTAATGATTGATAAACATTTAGAGATAGAGCTTGATCTTCTAATTGACTTACTTAGTTTGACTATTAGTCTGTAAGTAATATGTAGTAGAAGGGTTCTCTTGAATTCTAAGAAGTGTATATAAGTTCTATATGAATTTTAACTCAAATTATAGTCTACAATTGTGAATAAGTTTCTAAAGGAGTCTATATAACTAGAAGACATAATCCTAATAAATACACACTATGTCTTTAGAAGTAAGTTCTGTTTAGGTTGGAACTGTATAGACTTGCTTAGAGAATTGGTTAACAATCATACAGATAGTATTATAACCCTAAGACTTAGGTAGCTTACTAATCAGGTCTACTAAGACTTTCTCCTAAGAGTGATCTAGAATCTGATACAAATGTAAGAGAGCCTAAACCCTTGTCTAGTAGGCCTTAGTCTGTTAGTACATATTGTAACTAGTTATATACTTTAGGATTTCCCTCTACATTCCTAGCTACTAGTAATTCTGAGTAATAAGTTCCTACATTTTGTGTTAGTTTAAATGTTCTACAGTCAGATTGTTATAATAAGCTCAGACAATGTCCTTCTACAGTTTCTAATCCTTTAGAACATACAGTCAGCCTTCCTAGTAAACCTGTTCATCCTTATCCTCCTTCTAGTCCCTAGCTTACTTCTCTAACTACTTTACTATAATCTAGTCCTGTGTGTGTCTTAGAGCTTACTATATATAAGTGACAAAGTTAACATCTTTAGATTTGAGTTAGATCTCTTGAATTGTCTTGAACACAAAACAGGAATTGTCTAGGAGAACAAGATTTTTGTTATCATTCTCCCCCCTTTTATAACCTACTTGTCTTAAGAGTAAATCAGCTTTTATCATTTGTGTTCTAAGTTTGTGAGTTAGTACAAAGTCATAGTTCTACAGTTCTAACATCTAGCAGGCCTAGTAGTAGTTGAGCTTCTAAGGTGTCTGAAAGTACTAGAGATTAAAGTGATTACTCTAAATCTTAAACTTCTGTACAGTATTAAGAAAATATTAATACTACTCCTTTAGAGAACAGACAATTGTAAGAAGTTCCTTATTGTAGATAGGGTAGTTCTGTTCTGTTACAGAGAGGGATTCTAATCAGAATACTATCAGACACTACTTTCTGTTAATAAACTAGGACAGTACTACTCTATTTGTAAAGTTAGAAGAGTTAGCTTTAACTTAGAACTTGTTTACAACTGTTAGAACTACTAATACAGACTCA